AATTCAAAAACCCATCTAAAAATATTCTAATATTTATTTATTAATAATTCTTCGCTGTCACCTTTGACATTTAGTTTAAGAGAACTACTTCTTAATGAAAGGACAGTGCTTTCATTTACTGGAATAGATCAACAATTTTATCTCTCCAAATATTTACATAAATGAAGGCTAACCCTTATTGAACTCAATCACTATACACTGTAAAACATCAAAATGTCAAGAGAAAAAAAATGGTAAGAATAAAGTATATATTTAGTCCAAGGCCTCTAGGAGAACTTCTTATCAGCTACTGTACCAACATATTTAATTTAAAGCTGTGATTTCTTTAGAAACTTGTAAACTTGTAACATTTAGAAGGGGGTAAGAGTGGGGAAGAACATGTAATATCAGTGTCTTAATTAAAATTTAAAATAATGAGAGATAATGTAATGCGGAATACCAGAACTCATTAATAGAAAAAACACATCCAAAATTTCAGTTAAGTCAGCTGGAGGGAAGCAGACCACGTTTTCTCTACTGAAATTTAACTTTTTGATGCTGTAGCTGATTCCACATATAGTCAGTCCTCCTCTTGCACCCAGGCAGCTGCAAGATGCTATCTTACATATATGGTCTCACTAGAGCACGTTGGCTAACAATTAACTGCCTGTCAGGAATTCCAGGGAGGAATTCCCCCTCTTAGGAAAGATTGTTCTGTGGTCATTTTACCCTTCATGACATTCCACTTAAAATATGCGAGTGGCAAAAACAGATTTCATCAAGGCAAATATAAGATTATTGAATAAATTTTGCCCTGCTTAGAAACTGAATAATCAGAGAGCAATTTATAATGAAGAGGCTCTGATTAATGAAAGACTTAATCAACAAACTAAACTAATCTTAAAAGCAGTAATTCCTCCACTTTTGAAATGCAGGAGGTAAAAAAAAGATTGACATGAGAGTTAACTTATTGAAACTTTGCAGCCATTCCTTACCAATTTTTAAACCTGTACAGAAACAACCATAGCTATTAAGATTGCTTAATTATCTTCAGATGATAAAATTAATTGTAAGCATGTGATAATCTTGGACATCTTTCCAGAAATGAAAAGGTGAGTGTGCCTGAGAGTAAAAAATGGCTGGTTTGAGGAGACAGACCACGGCCCAAAGTGGTGTAGAGGATGCTTATCCTCTGGGTAGCAATGATAAATAAGGCGTGCTACAGGGATGAAAGAAGAGCTGTAGAAGAGACTGCAGCTTAGTGGCAACTGTTTATGGTCATGTTGTGAACACTTTCTGAGCTGGAACTCACGGTTTGTGTTGAGGCACAATTTAGTTTGCATGATCTCTCAGGTGTCTGCAGTACCCTTCGTCCCGGGAGATGTAAGAATAGGGAAAAAGAAGTCCTTGAGCACAAGTAGATCTTGGTCAAGACACCTGTCCCTTGGCCTGTGAAAAAAACACAGATCCAAGGTAAGTCACTCATTGTGACTGCTGCAAAACGGATCTTTTGTCAGAAATGCCCAGCTGTTTTCAGGGTATTGACAGCTCCAGGTGCCAGTTGGAAAAGCTGATTTATCTTTCAGCCAGACCAGACCTATTCCTTGTTGCAATTCCCACCTGCCCCAAGGTGTTTCCAGGAATCCCTAGGACAAGAAGGTATGTTTTCCCACTGGCAAGACAAGAAGTTTCTCCCTTTGCAACTTGGGGAATAGAGAAATTAATCCATTTGCAGAGATCTATCTGGCTTTAGCTATTCATCCTTACCTTCCCTGTGGTAATGAATGTCTAATGCAGGAAAGAATCTGCCTCCAGTTGTGCCAGGGGTGATTAAGATTGAATATTAAGAAAACTTTCTTCATCAACAGGGTTGTCAAGCACTGTTACTGTCTGCCCAGGGAAGTGGTTGAGTCACCAACCCTGGAGGTATTCAGAAGTTGTGCAGATGTGGCACTTACGGACATGGTTTACTGGTGGACCTGATGGTGCTGGGTTAATGGCCGGACTCAATGACCTTAGAGGTCTTCTTCAACCTGAACAGCTCTACAGTTGTCATGTATACAATGTTGCTGGAGCTCCAGAAAACTGGCTGTGAGTAGTCAGTAACCTTTTCAGCTTCTGGAAGAAAATTCTGAGCAAAAGCAGCAGGTACTGGTTATTTGTAGGTATATTATTTTTGTATTTTTTTAATGTGTGATGATGCATTCATTTGGATGTGGAGAGAAGGAAATGTTGAAGGTGAACACCCAGCCAACATTTTTCTTCTTTCCCCCTCTCTTTCTGTACTACATTTTTCCCACCCACACTTTGATGGCAAACTACTTTGTTGCCAGGATTTTTCTCACCTTTCCATGAGGTACCTTATCAGTAAAAGTGTGGAGTGGCATTTGTTTCAGTGGAGAAAAGACAGAGTAGCAAGAGGAGAAGCAAATGAGCTTTGGCAAACACACCCTTTCTTTCATGGAGCTGGAAGTTTATGAAGTGGTATTTTCTAAGCAGACAGATTTCTAGTTCTGAGTGTTATCTATATCCCTGGTTTTGTTGTTGAACATGTATTTGGACTGCTAATGACATGGATGTAGTGTAGAACACATACTCTTTGTCAATTACAGAAGTAATGTTTCTATTGTCTGGAAAAGATTCAGGATGTCAGATAATATTCTGAAATTTAAAAAAATTTTAGAATGCAATGCTATTTTATAGAAGATATTCCATTTATAAGTATCTGTGTTTGAATATTTCCTCCTTCTATTCTCTCCCTTGATGCCGTGTATGTAATCTCTTGAAACACCACAGAAGATATATTTAATTTGCTCCAATTCCTTTCTCTTCAATTCTCATTTGTACATGAACCACAATAAATAGGAACACCTGGCTTTAACCAGTAATGCCACATGTCATTGCTACAGGCAACATTTCTTTTGATCATGAGGATGATTTCTTTGCTTTTTCCAATAATATCTTGAATATATTGATTAGTGGACAAAGCACCACTTTCGCACTTGCCTCTTTATTATTGTAAGGAGAGGAAAAATGTTCTAATGCAACAAATGTGTTGGTGCATAGGGGCATTAAATTCCATTTCCTTTGTGCTAAACTCTCAGTTCTCTGACAAACAACATCCACACAGCGGAAAATGCTTTTTGGGAAAAAACATTTATTGAAAATTAGTCTCTAGGGACTTCTAAAAAGCAATTGCTCTGTGCCACCAACTATATCAGACCAATGCCAGGGGAAGCTGAATGATGAGAAAGAAATTTCAGATCTTTGGAACCTACCAAGAGACTGAAAGCTCCATGGCACCTAATATGACATTTGTTGGATTTCTTGCCTCCACTTCTGCTTTTTCTCCTGAAGTGAGACAAAACCCATCACTGGCCTCAGGATGACCTAATAAATTGATTTTTTTGGCATATTAAAATGGCATGTGCTTTCTAGGCACCACTGAAGTGGACATAGAGTGGAAAGTGTCAGATGGGCTGTTGACATGCTTGGTTGAAGAGACCACCTGTCTCCTGTAGGTAGGGCTGTTTTGGAAGAATTCTCTTACTTGAAAGTACTTTGTGGATTTTGCTAAATATGAATTTTTCAAAGAGAAATCTCATTGTTTACAGAAGTGGGATGGTGTTCAGAGAGTCAGAAAGGAGGACTGAGAGAGCCTCAGTCTTAAATGCATTTATCATTACACATTATCATGTGTCCAGTGCCTGCTGAAATGAGCTGTAGGCATAAATCCCTGGAAACAGTGGTGTCTTAGGAGTTAGTGTCTAGTGACAGCCTTATAGCATCATTGTCCCATTGGGTCTCTTCAGAAACCTGTCAGACCAGGAGTGCTTGGGTGGCTACCAGGTGAATTTGCGAGACAGAACACATAAGACAGATTAATATACCTTTTTAAAGTATTATTTTTTTTCTCTTAAAAGGAGGGAAAGTGAAGGAATTTTATTCTTGGCAATTTTGGGGGCCAGCAGCTCTCACCTTTCTCAGAGAAAGGACCGTGTTTGCTGCCCAATGCCTCTCTTCGCTCAAGTAGGAGGCGCAGCCTGTGTCTCTGTGTATTCAATCTTACTCAGACAGTGGAAATATGCAGGGAAGGATGGACATCATATACTGTGTGGCAATCATGAACTCACTTACCATGAGTGATGCTGTCAGTAGTCTCCTCTGACTGAAATTTGTCTCAGTACCACTGTCAGATCAACTCATGCCCACTGGGTATGTTTAGCAATGCAAACCAGGGAATTATTATGCTTCCTGTGTAGGTGGGATGTTGAAATAAAACAGCCTCAATCCATTTGTCTTCACTTTGATTCCCTCTGCAGGGTAAATTGGGCTGTGGTGGTTCAAGGTCCCCTTTCTGTCAATGACAACGCATCAGCATTTTCAGATATAGTGCAACCCACTCAAGGATGTGGTTTTCCATCTACAGGTACCAATTTCTTCCCCCTGTGCACACCTAGTGCATGAGTCTGACAGATTTAAAATTAGGAGCCTCAGTTTCTTGTCTAAAGCTTTATGTGATGAGTCCAAATCAAAATGATGCAATATTTTAGAGATTGTTGCAGATACAGGAATTAAACTTTAATATCCTCACATCCCTGTGATGGTGTAATTTATAGCCTATTCTGCTTCAGTACTCAGTGTAATGCTCAGTCTCCCTAAAAAGCACGAAAAAATAACAGAAAGACATAAAAATCAAGCTCAAGTCTTGGAATAATATCTGGGCTCTTTGGATGGGAAAGGCGAGGAGGCTGAAGATGTCATAAAAATGTACGTGTGCAAGGAAAGTGTCATAATTAGCAACAAGGTGCTATCACCCCACTGTCTGAGTTAACTTCCCCTCTGCACTCGATCAGAGTATTAAGGAACATCTCAAATCTCTCTGCTGATGGTCAAGCTGGAATTCACAACATTTTAATACAGCCCATGTTTGGAGAGTTTCGCAAAGAAAGAATTGTTAATGAGTAATCCTTGTCCATTAGGGCACTGAGCCAATAAACCCAAGCTTTGATTCATTGTGTTATCACTACAGGCTTCTGCTAAACATGAAAGAAAAACAAAACAAAAATGTTCCTATGTGAGAATCATTAGGATACTGAACTGAGTGCAGAACTGTCTTACATCCTGCCATCTGCAGTCTTCCAGAAAAGAACAGTAAGTAATAATTCCTTAAACTGATAGCTTGTTGCTGTTGTGTAGCATAAAAGTAATTCTATCACCTGAATTTTTTAGTGGATGTTAATGGATTTTTTGATCAGAAAAAAAGATTTAAAGTGAAGAATAATTTAGGAAGTAACTTCATCCTCAAAACTGTCTCCACAGTAAGAATTCCCTTTGGGAAAAATGATAAGGTGAAAAATACAGTCATGTTGAAATTTGTCTTTAGAAGCTGGCTCCTGTGTGTCACTGGAACAGAAGGTGGAAGTTTGATATCGAGACTTGCAACAGCAGTATCTAGTTAATTGTGTGCATTAGCTTTGAATTTTTTTTTTTTCTTATTTTAGAAACAGGAAATATTTTCAATGTGATTAATGGGAGAATAGAGAAAAATCCAGAGAGGAGAAATTATATTTGTTTCATACATTTTTTTTGCTTTGACAGTTCTGTGTACATATTTCAAGTGCATCTTCCAAAGTTGAAGATTTTAGAACATATTTCACATAACTAGGAAAAGTAAAAGGTTTCAAATTTCAAGTGATTACTGTTTGAATCCATTGCTAGTTTTTAAGAAAATGTAATTCTACTCTGAGTGTTTCTGCTACTCACTTATCTTCAGAAAACTATAACTGTGGCGGAACACGTTTCGCTTCTGGTTTTTTTATTGCTATTACTTGTGTTACAGAGAACCTAGAGATTTGAAATTATATTGGAATGTCACTAGTCTAAATGGCAGTCCAAAAACAAGTTAAAAGTGGAGGGCTTGCAGGTTTTTCAGGTCAGACATGAAAAAGATGCTGGATAAAGCAAGAAACACACAGATGGTGTCTAGGAGGTAATCCCAGGCAGAGTCAGAAGTTGGCCCCACTCTTTGAAGTCACTTACCTGCTTACAGAAATGTCATTGATACTTCTCACAGAGTTTTTATTTCTACTTGGGACTCAGATAACTGCCTTTACTTCAAAATTAAGAAGTAGGAATATTCTAATTTTTTTTCTGTGTCCTGTGTCTCTTCCCTGCTCTGATTTTAAACTCCATATTAAGAAATGTAACAGAAAATTTCAAATAAGCACAGTAACACTTGTCCTGCCTCTGCTTCTCAAACTTGCTTGTATGGTTGCTCACATTTCACATCAGTTGCTGTGTAGTTGCCTGTAGTGCTGTGCTTGCCAAAATGACCTGAGAGCAGCAGGCTGGAAATAGAGAGCATGAATCTTCCTAATGCTTTCAGGTCCCTTTGATACACTTTAAAACAAACAGGTAAGCAAATAAAATAGCTTCTCAAATAACTGAGGCACTGCATTAAATATTCTACAGAAAGACTATGAGGCCACATCAAAAGCCCGTGAATGAGATGGGAATCTATCTTCCCATTGATGTTAACAGTGTTTGGATTGGGCTATAGATTAATGATGTTACTGAAATTTCTCTTTGAGCAATAGGCAGTCAGATGTGTGAAGAATAGGAAAATATTATGGGACAGATGGAAGGATATGTACTTCACTAATATTTGTGAAAGATTTTCCATGTGCTTTGATATATCTTCCTTTGCTGAGTAATTGAAATAGATTCAACCATTCTTCTGAAGGTAAACCACAATTAGAGCTGTCATGGAGCTTTTCTGATGATCAAATATATTTTTGATATTTACTTGAAAGTGTGGGGCCATGATGCTTTCGTTTTCAGTGAAGTCAGTTGATTTAATAATTATTTCAGTAAGAGACTTGGCTTTGCTGACACAGAAGCCAGGGAAAGCTTTCCTATTGACCATAGCAAGGTCAGGGTAGTGCACAGATAAGAGCCTACAATAAATCTGAAATCTAAAGTTGTCTATACATATATATTTGTATACTGCAATGAACATGCATCCTATAAGACATCTGAATAAATATGTATATACAACCATGCAGTGGAAAAACAAGCCCCATATAAAATAATATACATGTAAATTTTCTTAGTTAAACATAGAACATGTAAACACACACTGATTGTTCTGAAGTATGTTAAAGGTTACATGTAATGAAGTTTTATGCAATTCCGAGCTCTTAACATGAAGTTGAAGACAATAATCTCAAGCAGCTGGGCACATATTTTACTTTATATGTACTGATCTGTGTTTTCTTTTGCTGTATATTTTGGCCTATGAAATAATCTCCAAAGGTGGTGGAATAAATTGCTTTATTTAAAAAGTTAACTAAAAATTATTTGGAAAAAAGATGCTTTCTAATTTATCACATGCCTTTTCTTTTCTCTTGAACGGCTCTGATTTTAGAGAGCACTATTGTTTTCCTGTGCTTCTATTGCCTTTATTTCAGCTTTTACATGCCAGATACTCTTTGTTTTTGTTGTTACACCTCAGGATGGAGTAGCAGTCCAATATAGTGACCTACATTATTTCCCAGAACTGAACAATATAAGGAGTAAGTGTAGCTTCAATGCTCTGTACTGTGCACCTAGTGTAGCTCTTAGAGCTGGAAATCAGCACCTACTCCTTTTAAATACATATGAAATTACTTATATGGATAAATTTAATGTAAATGGTCAGCATCAGCTGGATATATTAAAGAAAATGAAATATTAAAATGGTGGGAGTTGAAAAATCACCATGAACATTTGGCTTGACTTGAATCCATCCAGACAAAGACATGTGTGGCAGGAAGCATAGAGTTACAAAACCTGTAATGCCCTACAATAGTGCAGATTATTACAAATGTGTCCTCAGTAGTCTTACTATGAACAAGGCAGTATTAATAACATGAAGATTGGGTCTTTTTGTGTGTGTATGCAAAGAGTAACAGATTTTAAGGAGTCCATCTTGAGGTTAAAGAGGGGCATAATACAATGGTATGTTAAAAAAAATGAAATATCCTAAAAAAAAATAAGTTTATAGACATATCAAAGAGAAAAAAGACAATTTATAAGCCTTTAGAAACATAGCTTGGCAGCTTTTTTTTCTTTATTTGCAGCACAAACTAGCAGGATGTAGAATGTAGAACTTACAAGCTAAGAATCTATGCATTGAATGTCTGAGGATATACTGGCAGTAAATGCATTTTTAGATGTCCTCTTGGGACTGTATTTAATGTATTTTGATACAGCTTCCAACATTCCCTAAGAAGATAAATTCTAGGCTCTGTATTAACATACAGAAATTCACAATCCCAGTGCTGATGTTGGGTGTTGTAGTGTTAGGCCCACAAAAAGGGGCTGATGAGGAGACATGAGAAGTAGTAGTGGCAGTGGTGGAGCAGTTGTCATGTCTGGCTGTAAGGAGAGCTCATCCTGCAAGGAACTCTAAGGGCTTCACTTCCATGGGCTGGGACATGAGGAGAGGGCACTGATGGTCTCTTTTCTCTGGTCTTCAACAAGAAAATCCAGAAAATATTCATTAGCCCTCTGAAAATACCTTGTTTTGATGTTTTTCTTGCTGGCCATTATAATGGTCCTGACTGTGTCACTGCCTTCTCCCATCACAGAACACTTCTAATGGGCTGTAAGAGGAATCCCATCCCAAGGGTTTCTTATGGGTATTTAATGAAAAATCTGTCTGTCAAGAATTTTAAGACCTTAGAGCCATGTGAGTAGCCCCACATCCTGATTTCAGCAGATAACTTCTCTGGAAAATGAGGCAGAGAGGTAATAAAATGGTTGGAAGTAAACGTGGACCTAGTGGGGTGGCTGGGCTGGTTGCCAAACCCCATCCAAGATACATGGAGTGTTTCTGCTGTTGCAAAACTATGTTTCTGTGCTAGATTTGAGACTCTGTGTTTATATGTGATTTGCCACAAGAACCCTATCTGGTCTGTGATACAAGTAGCTTTTGACATTTCTAAGTAAACTGTTTAAATTATCTGTGGGCAGACATTTAAAATGCATCTGTCTAATTAGAGGGCCTCTGTTTATGTTAAAAAAGAACTTAATGAATCCTTACAGACAAATCTGAATATAATTACAGAGTGTGCTTGTCACTCTCACAAGCTACTTCCCAGCCTGCTCAGCACTGGGCTGTCCCGCAGCATTCACGTTTTTGTCAGATGATTTCATTTCTCCTCAAGAAACATGCTGGGCCTTCACTGGGAAGCAGACTGGGCTAGAACTCTCAAATGCCTTCAGTGAGTGGAAATGCAGTTCCAGGGACAGTCTCACGGTAATAAAGCCAAATAAAGAATTAAGACTGTAAAACAAAGGAAAATAGATTGCTGATGAGTTTCTGCAGAATCTTCTTGGTGTCTGTATAAGCCCTTGAGACATCTACTTGTTGGAGTTCTACATTCTCCTGTTGGTCCTGCCTCAGATGCAAGCTGGAGTTGGCCCAGACTGAGCAGCCCCTTGCACACCTGTCCCCACCTCCCCAGGGAGTGTTGTGTGGCTTCTTGAGACCAGCAAGAGTGGGTGGGCAAGCCTGCTTATCAGAGCAAGGCTTGGCTTTCTGTGTTGGTCACCATCTATCATCTCTCTATTCAGTAGTTACTGAAGACAAGGTAAAGAGCTGATCCCTAGAAATTAAATTCAAGTTTCCCATCTGTGTTCTTCTCATCTAACCATAAACTTACATTTTTTCAGTAAGTGAAAGCAATGAAATGATGGAAGGGTTGTGAAAAATAATGCAGACAATTGGTATTGCATGGCAGGAGGGCTGGGCAGCATGCCCTTAGGAGGTCAGACCAGTGCTTCAGTCTGAATATTTGAATAAACTTGGGCATGAACCGCTATTAATTTAAAATGACCAGAAAGAGGGCAAATAAAATATGCCACAGCTAGGAAAAAACAAACAGGCTGGATGTAGCATTTTATTTAAAGGCAGAATTAGGTTTTGTAATTTCAAGACAATGTTTGTTACAGCAAATATTGAAACAACTTCCTGCATTCTGCTTTACACTAGTTACACAAAAGTTAGTTATCTTGTTTTAAATATTCTTTTTGCTTCATATATTTCAGGGCCTCTTTTCAACCTCCTGTTTAATCAGCATATTACTCCTGAACTGAAGAATAAATGGGATCTGAAATGAATTTAATAGGACATCATCAGCTAGCTACTGCTGATGGATTTCCTCTTGCTGAAGGTTCTCATTTGTTTGGTAAGTCACCAAATTAGGTTGAAATAGCAAGCTGTCCTATACTCAGAAACCTAGGAGAAAATGGACTGAAATTTAAAGTCAAGGATATTAGGCTGAAATGTGCCAACCTTCTTGAATCTTCAATACCTATGAGAGGAATAACAAACAATAGATCTGTGTGCTAATACAATCCTGCAAATTATTGCTCTCATCACTGCTCACAGCATAACCTGTAGGTTGTTTTTGTGACACTCTTCTAATACTGGAGATCATTTGGCAAAAACAGACCTTTGTATGGAGGCTGGATGATACCTTCATGTGAGTCACTTAAATCAAGCTAAGCAGATATATTTCCAGTTAATCTGTAACAGAATTATAGTGCAATGTATTTGCATTGCATATTATGCAAATTTATGAAAGTAATTTCACCTAAATTAAAACCTCTGTCTTATTAAGACCATTAAAACCTTATCCTATTAACTTCAGTGCACAAGAAAATTATAAAGTAGGCTGGAAGACTCTCCTTGATGCAGTTTCACTGAAATTTTCAAAGCTAAGCATGAGCTTGTTAATGAGTAAAAAATTCTTAGTCAATATTTTATAAGCATGGGTAAGCTAATTTCTGATATATGTACTGCTAAGAAAAAAAAAAAAGATAATAAAGTTTTTTAGCCTTTCATTTGACAAGAGAGTGGGTCCTTCATTGAGTAAGTTATGATACATTGAGGGCCCCACACACAAGGCAGGCCTCCACAAAATGCTGCAACACTTGAGAAGTTTACAGTCTAAATAGGACCAGAATTCTGCCTTTTTGAGAGCTGGAAAAGCAGAACCCATTCCAGTTTCATCTGTCTGAAACAAGAGTAATGTCTGGGGCCTGGAAGGAAGGACTCTGGCACCCAGAGCCACTCCAGCTGCAGAGCTCCTAGAAGTCAGGACATGTCTACAAGTCAGAGCACTTGCAGTATCCTGGCTCCATGCAATTAAACTAAAGCATTATCACTCATGGTAAGCAGAATCCACTCTATTATTGTGCATTGCTTTGTTTTGGGGTTTGGTTGGAGAAATGTTTTGGAGTTGTTGAAAAAAATATATGCTAACAGCTAAACAGCTCCTTTGCTACCTCTTAATTCCAATGTCAGGCCATGATATACAGAGAGGAGAATGATGTTCAAATCTAAGGTGCCAGATTTTATGTTCAGTTATCTTTCAAAACTCCTGCATACCCGAACTACTTCAGATTTTTGTCAAGAAATTTCCCCCCGATATCTACTTTTTCATTAATTATTTCACTAATTAAAGGACTAATGATAAGGTTGCTTGAAAATACAAGGAAGAATGTTAATGTAAGATACTTTCCCTCCACTGGGTAATCTTACTTACAAATTGTGAAGCTTTCAGAAGAAGCATTGTGTCTCTCATTAAAGGTGTTCAGAGCTTAGCACAATGGAGATTTAATTCAAACTGACATTTCTGCAACAGAAAGAAATAATATATTAAGGAGTTGAATCAGAGGTCCTATTAGGAAGAAAACTTAACAGTCCTGCTATGTTTCACTTAGGCTGAGTTTTGTTTGGGGTATCACTCTAATATGGTATCTTTTTTGCTTTTATAGCTGGAAAAAAGCCTATCAGAAATAATATGCAACTGAGTACACAGAGAAAGTTACTCATTGTGAAAATATGATTCCATCTCTGCAAAACACTTGTAGGAAATGGCTTTGCCTCTCAATTCTTTATATTTGTAAATTATTTGCAATGTTTGACATTCCATTTTGGCAGGAAGTGACTTGTGAACTCCAGAAAACAGGAAGAAAGCTTTTCTTTTAGATGGTCCTTATAATGCATGTTTCTTTTAGGTCTTTTCATACATTTCGGTTCACAAGTTAAAAATTGCTGGCTTACAGAAATTACCCTTTATACAAACCAGTCTCCTTTATTCAAAGATGCACACTCGCATTCTGTAAGAAAAACCTTGGAAATACATTTTGTTTTCACTCTGCTTTATTCAGTCTATGGGGAGAGTGTTCTTAGACCTTCAAAAGTAAATCTAATTGCTTCTCCAAACATTAGCTCCAGGTTCATGGCTTTCAAAAAGAAATGTCAATTCTGAGTTGCCTGTGCTTTGAACCTCATGGTAATTCAAGGGCACTTCTACATCCTTAGCCTCAAGACTTCTAGATGTAACAGGTTTCAGAAAAAAGACTGTCTACCTTTCAGTAGATGAAAATTGTATGCTGCCTTTTTAGAGTAACTAAAGTAAAGTAAAGTATCTCTGTATGTTTTTGGAGTCAGTGTGTTTTAGCCATAGTTTTTCACTTCTGCAGTTATGAGTCCCTGGGGAAAGGGCCTCAAAATGCAAATGAGGAAGGAACTTTAACCTAGTTAAAGTCAGGGTCCTTCCCTTCCACCCTGTCTTCCTGCAAAACTGCTTTTCTATTTCTAACTCTCTACTCAGGTGATTCAGAAATGTTATATATTTGTGTGGCACCTGAAATATATACAGTATGTGACTCCAACTCTCATTTCTATGATAAGTAGCTCGCTCTATTTTCTGTGAAAGCACCTCATATAGAAGTTGCTAGTATGCAAGATACTGTGTGAAACTGAATTATTTCTAATTCTTAGTTTAAATGAAGACCTATTTCAAGTATTTTCAAGTATTTCAAGTATTTTTGATGGCCTGAAAATGTTTTCTTGTAATGTGACACTAAAATATAACAAGACAAGAAATGTCACTACATGTCCCTAGCTGGGAAAGAAGGTTCTGGGGGGAATGAGCACTTAAAAGCTGTATGGAAAAAGATGAGGAACAATAAGAAAAAAAAATTACATCTAACAAAGGCGGGGGGGGGAAAGACCAATATATATCTAAACTTCTTAAAGAAAGAACAATAAATATCATTGAAAATTGTTGTAGATACAGAACAGTGCCTAAGAGTAGCTTAAAAGACTGACTCCTTTTACGTAAATCTTTCTTTTTCTGTTTTTTTTTTTTTTTTTTTTTTTTTTTTTTTTTTTTTTTTTTTTTTGTTTTTTTTTTTTTTTTTTGGTTTGATTTGTGGTTATCTGGGGTTTTTTAGCTGTTGTTTTGTTGGGGAATTTTGGTTTATTTTGTGGGGTTTTTTTGGTTTTGTTTTTGTTTGGTGGTTTGTTTGTTTGGTTTTGTTTTGTTTTGTCTTTTCTCTGTGTGTATTTTTATAATAAATAATAGTGATAAAAAAGTTGTTAGGGTCAAGTGTCCAAACTGATTAAACAGCTTCAAGATCATAAGATATGTTAAATAACTTCTTGTCTTTGGCACCACCTGGCAGTTGATGCAACATCTGGCTTCATCCCTGCAGAGCATATAATTAGGCTCATAACTGACCCCCAAATCAAAAAGAAACAAACCAGCACAAATTAAAACAGAAAACATTGGATGCATAATAATTATTAAGAGAGCCAAACCAAACAGAGTGGCAATGTGAGTAAAAAAATTAATGAGAAGGACAGATTGGATGTGGCTTACAGCAACCTGCTTATGAGGAAGATGTCCCTTCCTATTTCAGGGTTTGGAATTAGATGATCTTTAAGGTCCTTTCCAGCCCAAACCATTGTGTCTTGTCATATAGATGTGTCCAGTATGGTCTGAGCACTTTGGTCTTTTTTTGAGAATGCAATATTTTTCCACTTATAAAACCTGCTTCCTGTGATACTGGAGTGGTTAATCACTTGCACAGAACCACCTGACCTTACCAAATATTCATTGATACAAAATTTGGTTGTAACTAAACCACAATAGGTACAAAAAACAATGGCTAGGCTACTTGGAGGCATCCCCTCAAACTGGTAGCCAAATTTTATCCAGGTAAATCCACATTGGAACAGACATTGTTTCCGGCATCTACAAACAAGTTGCTCGTAATGAAGTTAATTAGTAAACTATACAACCTCTGGTCTGTGTCACTCCTTTCGAATCTTAAAGAAAGTTCTCACAGTAAAGAAGTGAACAGGACACAAAGCAGAATTAAGAAGTTTCATGTACATGTAGACTGTAGGAGGTAAAAAAAGGAAAAAGAGAGAGAAACAAGGACTGTGGCACCTTAAGGAGAATATTTTTCATCAAGAAATGGTCAGACTGAACACAGCCTGAGGTAGGATATTGCCATATTCTGCCCTGGATATTTTTGTTATCTATTCTTGCACTCTTCCTTGAAATTGTGGGATGCTAGTAGGATTTTTACACCAAGAAATCTTTAAAAGACAAGCGAATCATTTGTTTGGAATTAAACCAGGATTTTGATAATGCCTATGCCATGGTTTCCAAATTACCAAATTCTGGACATTGTTATTTTATTATGTTCCTTCATGAATAACGAAGGAGAGCCAGGGGTTCATATTTTAAACCTGCTTAGAATTTAGTTCTCTTTGTTAAAATTTATATTAGTGGAACAATAACTTTTACATTAAAATGTGATATTGTAAGTTCTGTAATATTCTGCATAAAATTGCATTTAGCTTGCACAAATTCTCAGTATCCTTCTGTAAATTGAAAACAGTTTATTTATTCCTGCAAGGAATATTTCTACAAGTCAAACATATTTTGAAGTTTCTTATAAAGTATTCTGTCTAAAATTTAAAGCAAAAAAAGTAAAACTCTCTAATAAATTTCATTTGCAAGTAGAAAAAAATATTTGTAAAACAATGATCACATGTATGTGAATGTTTCACTTTGTTTTTAGCAAGCTTTCAATATTTTTGTAAAAGGTTTTAATTGAAAAACATTTATTTACAAAATCTAAGATTTGCAAATAGAAAAAATATGTAGATGTCATTAACTTAACATATGTATGTGCTTAAAAATCAGACAGGTATCCTTCCAAAAGGAAAAAGAGATAAATGGTTCAAAATATTTAAGATCACACAAACAAAATGTCGGTGTAGTCCAATGAGCTCATTTCCAATTTCACTTTCACTGCTTATACTACTGCAACTGCAATGATTTTACTGGGCTGCTCATGCTTTAGTTGCATGAGACCAGTCCATCCCAGACCTCTATTAATAGATATATCTGGAGAAAAGCTTATGTATGTTCCGCTTGGTAAGATAAGATTACTTTTCTTTGTGATAAGAAATTATTCAGTCCAGACTCTCACGTACACATCTACACGTACATCATGCTCAGGTCTACTTAAAACAAACCAAACCAAAACCAAACAAAAAACCCTCGAAACTTCAAGCTAAAGTGGGAAAACCTACATAGTTGCAAGCTAATTATCTTCAAAAATCGTACTGGTCTTTGAGCACTTCCCAGAGTTTAAGCTGTGAGTCTGTTTTACATAGAACAGGAACATGTTCTCTCAGTCTCTCTCAAATCTGTCTGGTTTTCCTTTTCCCTTCCATTGGTCTGAGCATGGACTCAGTTCAGCTAAATTGTTTAACGCTGTGTCTGATGGAAGGAAAAAGGAAGTGATATGGACTGTTTGGCTTTTTTTCCTCAACTTAAGACTCTTGTTTGTTTGTTTGTTTGTTTGGGTTTTTTGTGGGGTTTTTTTGGGGTTTTTTTGGTTGTTGTTTGTGTTTTTTTGTTTTTTTGTTTGGTTTTTTTGTGGGGTTTTTTTGGGGTTTTTTTTGTTGTTGGTGGTGTTTTTTGGTTTTTTGTTTCCTTTGGAAGCAGAGTAGAGTTAATGATTGGGAAGATTTTTCTAAACATACTTGTGGCCCAAATGGCTCTACAGTTGTTTAAATAACCCCCCAGTGTTGTCTCAGGATGTACCGCAGTCCGTTAGTAGCTCTGAATTTTTTAACAAGTGCTGATATTTTTTTTCTGTGGAAGGAATGTTGCCTGCTCTTCTTGCTCTTTCAGAGACCCAAGCAGTTCAAGAGGCTGGTATACAGCTTTTGTGGAGTTTCCTGTATATGGCAGAAAGCTAAAAATCAAGTTTCTTCCTTTTCATTTTGGGATTGTGCCACTTTCTTTTAGAAAACTCAACTAATTACCAACGAGCAAATGAAAACTTAGGTTTCCACAGTGAACAGATTCCTTTCTAAACAGAGACTGAATGATTGTGTACCCCACAATTAACCCCATATTTTTACCTCAAGTACCTTGACCAGTCTTCATGAGCAGCAGTCTCAACAAGTGGCAAATACAGCTAAAATAATTTCATTTACTGGATATGAACTCTTCGCTGTCTTCACCCTTCACTTGTTTTGTCGCTGCTGTGGCTGGCAGGTATTGGTGACACCTTGCATCTGATGCATGAAGCTGTAATGTCACTTCCAGGCTCTTCACAGCATCCCCAGATGCCCTCTGTGTGGCTATAAACTTGTTTAAATGGCATAACCTTGGATTTGGGGAGTGTCTTCTGCTCTCTGCTTCTGCAGCCCTTGGTGCCCTGGCCTCTTCCAGAGCAATGAAATGCAGCCATAATTAAACTAATTGATGGTAATAAAGGACACCATTATTGTAATTTGGTTTTTTGGTCACGTTTTTCCAGATATACATCTCTCTGCTTATTCTGGAACTGGGACCTCAACACTTGTAATTGGCAAGGATGTGCTGTGGGCAATAATAGAGCAACCACACAAACCCAAAACTCTTGCACGGCTTCTGCAGCATGATAAAATAGGAAGGGCAGAAAGCTGCAGAGCAAGAGCGTGAGACCTTGAAAGTGAAAAAGTCAGTGTAATTAAAAGGTCAATTTCTGGCACTAACTGAAGTGAGACAAAGGAGAGGGAAGAATCCCCCACTATAGATTTTAATTCCTTTTGTGATTGCAGATGTTCTCTGTTCTTAAACTGTTAGCATTTCTTCGTTGTTTTTGATTCCTCACAAAAGAAGGACACTTGTCCATGACCAATTTTATGTCAGCAAAAATTTTTTTGGAGTTCTTCTGAAGTACTGTTAAGTGATGGTCACCAATGAGCATTAATCTATGATTTCCTTGTAAATACTGCTGTTGATTCAAATAAAACTGGACTGATCATCTTCCTGGAAATATGTACTCTTTTTCTCAGACTCTCTTCTTGGAACTATTGAAGGAATTGAGACAGAGTTTTCGCAAAACCACAAGATGTGGCTCTCTCCAACAGAAAATAAGAAATAGTTTGCAAATAACTTTTAAATTCAGCTTTTCAGTTGTTTGATGTGGACTTGATTTTACCTACACCATCCAGGGACTGCTGGATTTTTTTGTGCTTGGAGTACAGAAAAGAAATGAGGGTTCAGTTGTCTGCAATTTAAAGTATGCTATTTAATGAGCAAGGTTAAGGTAACCTCCAGATACCGCGTTGATCCTGACAGGAAAGGTTGCCACTCCTTGTGCCACTGCCATGTCTGTGGCTGGCTCGGAGGTGACTAATGCTGCCTTACAGAGGTGTTTTCTGTGAGAGCCTCCCAGCTGCACTGAATGGCACAGGGGCAGGGGACCAGGCTGCAGAGGCTGGCTGGCCACTGGAGGCTGGATGGTGAGAAGGTTGCATTTCATCACTGACATTAGGAATATCTTTCTTGCTCTTTCCTGGTAACCTCACCTTCCTATTTCAGGTTCTTCTTGAAGGCTTATTTCATGTTTTCAGTCTTCTAATTAAGCCTCATTCTTGTAGTTTTTCCCTAGTGCAGTTTTTGTCTGTCATGATGTATTCATTTAGAATTAATACAAATTAACAAGATATTTGAATCTTGATTTATCTTTCACCAATACAATGGGGTTTTCGCCATTTGTTTGGATTTCCTCCATTCTGCTTTTAGACCTAATTTGAGTCGCTAACTTCTCTGGGGTGTAATTGCTCTTTCTTATAAACTGAACAATTATAGAATTACCTGCACAATATTTTTCAAGATATTTTTATGTAGCTGCCAGTGCTGGACATTTCCACCAATTATAAAGGAGTGTCTGAGAATGAATAAATTATATTTAAAACTTCTTGCAGTGTATTTGTGTAGCAAATCTGAGTTTAGATAATGCAATCTTTGTGTTTGTGGATGGTTTTTGAGATAGATGTCTGGAAGTGGAAACTTCTCTGATAAATACGATTTCATGGCAGTAATAGAAATTGGTTTTGCATTATTATTTTCCAGGTGTCCTTTCAGAACCAATGAGTTCTCCAGTGCAAGAGGCAGATGTATCACCTTATGCACAGTACAACAATGTGCCATTTCCCCAAGTTCAGCCTCAGATCTCATCGCCACCTTATTACTCCAACCTAGGCTTCTACCCTCCACAGCATGAGGAATGGTACTCCCCTGGGATGTATGAACTCAGGAGGTTACCCTCAGAGACCTTTTTCACAAGGGAGACAGAGATAATGGATATCCCTGCAGCCAAAAAGCCCAGACTGGGTCACTCCACAGGAAGAGTGAAGGGAGAAGAGCTCTGTGTGGTCTGCGGTGACAAAGCCTCTGGGTATCACTATAATGCCCTTACCTGTGAAGGATGCAAAGGTAGGATGAAGTCAGTTCAGATAATAACAGCAGCTTTTCAGGATTTGTTGTTGTTGTTGTGGTGTGCTTTTTGTGTTTTTTTTTTTTTCCCCTTTCTTGTTAATTTCATCCAAATCATTAATCATATTAGAGATTTGCATTTGGATCCTGTGTACCCTATTCTGTATTTCCCCCAAGGCAGACTGGCAGTGTCTTCTCCCATTGCCCTATGGTTGGTTGTGCAGCACCACAGGCCAACCTACAGCTCTTGGGCACCATTAGCTTTTGGTGAACTGCAGGACAGCTTTCTGTGGACACTGGCAGCCTGGCTCTGCTCTCTGTGGAAGCTGCTCATGCCATTCTCTTCCTGTGGAAGGAACAAGCCCATGGAGGCCCCTGGGAGATGAGTGCTAGGCTGCCCTAGAAAATAGCTCAAACCAGCCCAAGTGCCACATGTAGTGTGCATTGAAGGGAAGTAAAAGCTGCCAGCCCCCACCTGCAGGCTGTTCCCAGGGACTCTCTTTCCCCCAGCTCCCTAAGGATATGATGGGTGTCTTCAGGTTTGTGAAATTAAAGGATTTCTAGTTCTATATTTTCTTCTAAGGGTGGCCCCTATCTCTAGGGAGGGAGCTTCTTCAGGAAGAAGGTTGTATCTGCAGGACAAATATCTTGCTTTTTAGAAGAACATTATTCACATATTATTATCAGGATAAATGTGATGTAGAAACTTATTGCTGATATTCTACATGAAAACATGATTGTCAGATATTTTAGCAGAGAAGGACAAGAGGTTATGTCCACTATCATTCCTGAAGAGGTATAATATACCTGTGACAGGGCTGAGATGCATTATGGCCAGAAAAATAGTGCCCCATTTTTCATCCTGTTCTGTGAATAAATATTTCATTAACACTTCTGTTTTATGGATAAAGACTAAAGCATGGTTACTACCAAATTACTAAAATATCTTAATGTGGAATTCACAGTTATAGAGAGTGGACCTGGACCTAATGTGGGGCTTTTGATTTATTTATCACAAAATAATTTGTGAATAAAAAACAGACCACAGGGCTCGAACACTTGAAACATGAATACAGTCAAGGCTCACACAGTTTATTTCAATAATTCCAATAAATAAGAGATTCATTTCTTTCTGCTGAGTGAATAGCCTTCAAATCAAAAACTGTGAATTAACTCATATTAATGCAGTCATTTTAAACCAGGTTAAACTCAATTTTGATGTGGCGATTCCAAGTAATGATATTTTAATTCTGTTAGTAAGCTGTTCTTCCTCTTTATTAACTGCAGTATTTAATGTGCGAGAAACTTTTGAAAGACTTGAAATTACAAATTTTAAAATTCGTATAGAATGTTTCTAGAAGAGAGGTTAAAGCCATCAGGTAAATATTCAGACTAAAGCCCATGATGAAAGGAAAAGTGCATCCACTTCCCTACTGATTCAGTTTGAATCACTCTATGTAACCATAATTTTACTGCTTTATTGGGATAATCTAGTTTATGTTTTTGTTCTGTTTCATGACTGCAACATCAATTACAAAGAATAGTACCCTTTATCAAACATAGTAAAAGTTGAATTACTTAAAGATAATGGATTCTGTTTCTACAATAAATTTTAAAGGTGACTAAAGTACCAGCTGATTCAGTAAAGAGATGTGCTGAGGACAGTAATTCTGTCTGACAAAGCTAAGCAGATACAATGTTTTCTGGATCTCTTAATCATGTTTGTTATCTGTGGAGTTTTTCACATGGGTATACATTACCTTCAAAACAGGGAGACCAAAATTAGGCTCGGCTCTTCAGTTGTGCTCTTATCAGTGCAGTATAATAACTCCCTCACATGTCTCTGTCTTGAAACTCAGTATGAGATTATCCCTTCTTCTTGCAACAAGACTGCTAATTCATGCTCAATGTGTGTCCAAAATAATATGCAGGTCCCTTTCTGCAGGACTAGTGCTCACCTTGCAGCACCTCTGCTCCATTGATGCAGTGGATGTTCTTATTCAAAGGAAGAAGCTTTGCACATATTTTTATGGGATTCAATCCTCTGTGATGAATATGTTAATTTTTTTATTATTATTTCTTTCATGGTAATGCATTCAGCAACACTTTCTGTTCTCTTTGGTTTTCTTTCTTGGGCAGACAGAACAATATTAGGATCTTATCTATTGTCCTCATGAGAATATTTATCTGAAGATATTGGCAGGAGTATATATTGATATATAGATATTTCTTAATGCATTATAATTCATAAACAAATATGTATGAATACTATTTCATTAGTATTTCACATAATATTTACAGCACAAGGAGCAATACAATGTGTTTAAACTTGCTACTGTGGACACCATTTCTGAAATGGTCTTTGCAGACTGACATCAAAGACATTCTGGTACAGCCTCAGCCTGGATAGTTACACTGGGTTTTAAGGGCCATTTCAAGGTTTTACAGATCGAATGTGACATAATGTTGTGCTTATTTAATTAAGCCACAGAATCAGTTCTGTTGAAACAAAAAGTGTCCATCTTCGAGATCCCTTTCAACCCCAGCCGTTCTATGCCTCTATGAAAAGCTAGCTACACATCCCCTCCATGCAGGCTTGCAGTAGGAGTTTTTGCAGTATTCAAACCACTCCTGTGCTGCTTGAGGTTTCTCACACCAGACTGGAATTCTTCTTGCAAAAAAGGTCCCTCTTTAATCTTCTCCTCACACTAACACCCACCATGGGGGCATGGGGCAAAGGAACACCAGAAGATGTGTTGATGGTACGACACAACAGAGCAGGTGTTTTGTTAGCAGCTGTGAATTTCAAAAACTCTTAAATTTAAAACCCATCAGGATGCCAAACAGAGATATTTCCAAAGCTTTCATCTAATCTTTTTACAGCTGCCCTCCTTCAACTTTCATAATTTCCATGAGAAAAAAAATCAGCATCAGTAACATTGGAGCAGCTCTACCATAATTAATCATATTCATGACTATCTGAGAACAAAGCAAATTCAACATTTCCAGCCAACATGAGCTTTTTGTAATTTGGTGAGATCAAATGAAAATTAGACTGTGCCAGAAAAACCTTCAACTTTTGGGGTTGCTAACCCTTTGTTAGTTTAACATATGTTGTTTCAGACTTACCTTTAAATTTCAGTAAAACACCTCCTGCTATATAAAGTCAAATTTCCAGCAGTGTAAGTTCATTTTGAATTAATAGTGAATAATATATACAGAAATTTCATTTATACCAAAAGCTAATTTCAAAATTATTTATGAAGAAGTCTGTTCAAAAATGCAATGATTCCAGAGTCACTTCACAGAAAACTGAAGCAAGAATAGGGTTAAAACTAGTGTTTGCCAAAAAGAAAAAATGATTTTGCTTTTCATTTCAGGTAATTTTACTTTTTCATAAACTTTGTTTTCAAGAGAAAGTATTTGACTGCTTGAATATTGTTGGCTCCTAGCTTTTGCATCCATGTTTTTTGCCTTTCTTTTTCTTGTATATCTTTTAAAAATTATTTATCCATTTTTTTCTTTCTTCCATCATGAAAAAGTAATTGCACACCTTGTGAATAGGTTGAGCGATAAAGTCATCAATCAGGCTTAGAATGTTATAAATATTTGTGAAGAGCTTTTCAGTGTTTACTACAAATTAATGTATAATAAATGATATAATTTTAAATTTAGAAATAAAATAATATATAAAGCAGATGCATTTGCCCTTAAGTGGCAGTGAGAACTTACAGTTTAAATCCAGGCTTTTTTTTCCTTCCCTGACCAGTAAATGGTAATGTATTAAAACCAAGTGAGTGATGAATAAAAATAATGCCTGGGGCTTCTGGACGCTCTAAGTAATCTGCATTTCAAAAGAGACTGATGCCAGTCAACTGTATTTGTTTGAAGAGCAGCCAATAAAACAGACAGCATGGAAGAGATTTCAAGCAGGAATTACTGACTATTCTTAGAAATGCCAGATTTTTTTTGACCAGGTAGTGGAATTGTTTTACTGGGTGCTACACACTGGTGCTTGGAAGAGATTAGACAACTGTAAAACCATGGGGCAAATTCGTGAAATTGTCATCTGACAATGCACAATTCTTCAAACACACAGACAATTCTTCAGATTCACAACTGAATGTGCTCTATGATTTGATTATGGGAGACTGGCTCTTATCTGGTCCCTCTTTTAATGCATTAGAGTGTCAGGTTGGAAAACAATAGTTTTATTGTGCCAGGCAGTGGTGATAAGAAAGCAAAAGCTTTTTGAATAGCTCTGGTTAATATAAATGTATACAGAGCTCTAGTTTGAAGTACAGTATAAATCAGTAATGTGGCAGCAGAAGCTCCCAGGAGTTTATTTCAGAAACCTGCCCTCACATGGGGAGGAAAACTGATTCCCACTGTAGCTGATGCTAAATAGTCTCTGCCTTGTGAAGGACAATGTAACAAGATTATAATGGCACAGTGACTAATACTAAAAATTTAGGAAACATTGACAGCAAAGATTCTGTTGCTTTGTGATGACCCTTATTTAATCATATTTATTATCTTGAGTACCCCCTGTTTTGCCCACAGTGCTGCTCTCACAGATGGGCTGCAGCCAAATAGGAGATTTGGACAGACTTAGGAAGGGTCCTCTCAATATTTTGTATCAGTTGCTGTTTGCAGCTATTACTGTGCAATTTTTGAGTGAATCCTGTGACAATACCAGTAGAACTGCCTGTGCAGGTGAAATTAGGTGACTACTTAACTCATCAAGTGGACAATACTTGGTGAATAAGGCTGGAATATCTTGTAAACAGGGGTGGAGGCCACATGTACAATAGGCAGATAGAGTGCAGCTTCCTTATTAAACTTGGGGGTGGGTGAGCAGACCAGTGTGTGGAGCTTCTGTTGCTCCCAGGAGCTGGGGGAAGGGTGAAGAATTACTCATCTCTCTTTCTGCACATTCTGTGCATTCTGCACATTCTGCACCTCAAGAGACTTAACAGACTCACTTTTTTTTTTTCACTGGCTATTTGTATGGTATCACCCTACAGCTCTAGTGCTGGTGCTCAGCCTGCTACTGGCAGGTTTCAGATTTGGGTCTGAATTTTCCCAAACTTCACAATTGCAGGACTTTACTTTGGACTAATGTCTAGTGTTTGGGCTCACTTTTTAAATTATATGACTTGGATACCGTTGTCAGTGTTTGAGCTCATTTTTTAAATTATATGGCTTGGATACTGTTGTCAGTACAAGTATCAAGATTTTAGTCATCCAGACATTGAGAAAAATGATGATCAGGCAGAACATATGTAATTTGAAAAATCCAGTGAGATGGAGGTGAACTTCACCTTGATGACTTGTTTCCGTGTGTTTTATTTCACCTATGTCACTGTTGTTTTCTGCAGGATTCTTCAGAAGAAGCATCACAAAAAATGCAGTATACAAGTGTAAAAATGGAGGCAACTGCGAGATGGACATGTACATGAGGAGAAAATGCCAGGAGTGCCGTCTAAGGAAATGCAAGCAGATGGGCATGTTGGCTGAATGTATGTATACAGGTATTTGCATCATCCAGTCAGAGTGTGCATTAAATACTGGATTTGCTTGAGTGGTCTGGTTTTGACAATAAAGTTACAAAAGGTGTTATTTGCCAGGTGGAAGGTGTATGAAAGAAGATGCTGTGCCTGTGCAGCAAACCCTGCTGAAAGACAAATGCACTTTTAAGCAATGGGATTTAACTGGTGGTCACAGCTGCAAGGGCATAAGAGCTGAGCAAATGGTGAAGGAAGGCCAGTCCTGCACTGGATGACAGCTATTAGTCTGCTTGAGTGAGGAGCAGGGGAAGTGGGTCTGTGGGAGACTCCCCAGGAGTCAGGGTTTGCAGTGTTATGGAAGCCAGAGCAGGAAAGTCCTGGAGCTTTTCTTTCCTGCTCTTTCTGGGGCTCCCCCAGTCAAGTTATTGCTGGCCAAGTCCAAGTTTTGGCACATACACAATGCCATTTTCAGGAAAAGAGCAGGAGTGTCGCCAGCAGGAAGTTTCTGTGGATTTGCCAGATGTATGTTCCCAGACCTCACCCAGTAATCAGGCAAAGCCGGGTAAGGGCTGGCCCTTTTTTATAGTCTCATTAGCTTTTCTCATGGTGCTGTAGATTTTCCTGCCTTGCATATGGGCACATAGGTAGGACTCATATACACATAGGTCTCCAGAAATGAACCCAAGGGATTTTAACAATGTTGCATAGTAAAACAAATATTCTATTCAGACTGACAGTTTACAAACTTTATTGAGCTTCAAACTGAATAACTCAGAACAATGGGGATACTGAAGTATGACTTTGAACATGTTTAAAGATCCTCTTTGAGTTATTGCACTATTTTTGTAAGCCTGCTCCTGAAAACACTCTGTAAACATCTGCTCTTTTGCCTTCCATGAATAGGACTACAATTTATTCTTCTTGATGGCTCCAGTCACTTTAGTATACACGTATGTGTGAAATCAATTTAGGTTCATACAGGAAATTAATCTACTTGGAATTTTTAATATATTTCTATCCTTCAATCTGATGAGAAGATGCTGTAGTAACTGTTGGTTATATGAGAAACAATAAGCTCCATCAATATTTCGAAGGTGTTGCCAGCATAATGTAATTAATCTTTCATTCTGCAAATTGAACAGGCTGCAAAGATCCTGAGATAGGACATATTCTTGTGCAATACATAAATATATGAGCAGACCCCACTTTAATGGAAGAATTCAATGCACCCTGCATTGTCAGAGGAAAATAATTCCCCTGTGGATCTCACCCATGATCCATTGCTTCAAAATTTTGAGGATTCAAAATAGCTTGAGTCACTCAATGCAGCAAAAACCCAACTGAAAAAAACCAGGTCAGTGTAAATAATACTGACTGGGACCACATGAAACTTTTATGCTGGGCTATCATTTTCACAAGCTGGCATACAGGAAATAAAAGCCAGTGGGTGCTGCTGCCATTTGACTCTCTCTCTGCAATGGAAACACGGGGTATCTTGTGTTGCTCATGATTTAACCATAAGTGTGCTCTAATGCACTGCAATGAGGATGTTTGGCAAGGCACAATTTAATGGCTTTAAAGTAGGAGTGTGTAGTATAATTGCTTTTAGTTCAAGGCAATCTAGGACAGTAAATCATGAAACTTCTAGTAGTGTAGGGCATTTATTTGAAAAAAATGTGACTAGGAAATAAAATGTTACCTTGAACTTTGTTTCACTTACTCATTTTGTAGGATTGTAATTGCAAGCTCTGTGGATTCTTTTTTCCCTCTGAACAAGGAGCTAAAGTATTATAAATATTTATGGCACAGCTACTCAACAATCTTTCTCCTGCCCTTTATGTGCAAACTACAGACAGACCAAAATTACTACCCATCAATTTCAGTCATTTGCTGTCATTTGGATCTAAACTACAAGTTTCTTGGGTGAAATGTCTACCTAGGGAAGACCCAGGTTCTGCCACTCTTCTTGGAATTTAATACCCATTGAAATTTAGCTATCTCTGAGCTAAAAAGTGATGTCCTGTCTCACACACAAGTTTTTCAGATTACTTAAATGGAGCCAGAACAAGATATCAAGGTAATACTTAGTAGCAAGAAGCATGAGAAAAATCTTAATGCTTAAGGGAAATATAAAGCAAATTTTCCCTCAGAAAGCAATAGACCAGATCTTAAACTGGTGGAAAACAGCACAAGCCCATTAACAGCACCAAAGGATGCACTGAATAATTTAGAAAAAGAAATCTGTGGTGCTGTGTGGCACCACAAATTACATGGCTCAATACCAATTATTATCTCTATCATTCCTATCCCCTCCTTTCAAGGTATTCTTTTCAGGTCTTATTTTAATCATGTAAATTTCCTCTTCTCTCAGCAGTTCAGGTAGGTCATTTTATATAGGGCTTAAACAGGAAATTAAAAACGTTCACAACGAGATACACTGGTTTCATGGTATCTTCCTCCACATCATATACTCACTGAATGAGCCTCTTTTCCTGCTCTGCATTTTTAAAGGTGAAAGAAAGAAAAGAAAGAAAGAAAGAAAGAAAGAAAGAAAGAAAGAAAGAAAGAAAGAAAGAAAGAAAGAAAGAAAGAAAGATCCTGTGCTTAAAATAAATAGGTTTATTTTTAGATGAATACTTAGGTGTTTACTTTTTCATTTGTGATTTCTGACTGTCTTCCACAGATTGTGTATGGTAGCTATTGTTCCTTTCTTTTGTTAGAACAAGAAAATTGGTAGTTTTTAGGACATCCAAACAAGGATACTTCCTGGTTCAAAGTACTGAAATGTAGTCTAGAACAAAAAAAAAAAAAAAAAATCCCATACCACAAATTCAAAAATCCTTTTTTTTGCAAGTGAAAATCAGGGCTTTATGCCCTCCTCTAATACAATGAAAAACAAAATATCAAGACCCGCTGGGTTACTTCTTAAATACATTTTAAAGGTACTTTTGCCAGTCTGAGTTACTTCTGAGTTTATGTTTTCAGCTGTTGGTCTACCTGTGTAGTGAGGCAGTAAAAGCTAAAGCCTGGGAATCCCCTCTTCTGTGTGGGCTTTCTTTCCAAAGATTCTGCACAACATACCTAATATTGCTTATGGATTATTGAAAATATCCAATGCCCTTCATGTAAGAACAGCTGCACCTCCATCACTGTTTTGGATCAGAGCAAAACAGCATTATTTCAATGACAGTCTTCCAGTTGCCACTATTTACTGCATTTTGGTTCAGGTCTTGGAGCAGAGGAAAGGCTTTTCTCTTCTATAAAACTGAACCAATGGCACAATCCAGTACATTCCCATCACTAATGGGCTTTTTGCCTGTAAGAACAGATTAGACCTGGTCCAAAGCAAGACCCCTGACATGCTCAGTGTGTGGATTCTGGGTTAGCAGAACGAGCTGTTGAGCTGTTTTGCTCTGCAGATAAGCTCCATGTGGGGTGGACTACTCACAGTGTGTGCCTAGCTTGTCTCAGTAGACTCACACCCAAAGATAATGACACGTTCAGGAGATGATCTGCACAGGTAAGAGGGCTCTTGGTGTAAAGGGCATTCATGGGCATGTCTATGTACCTCTTCAGTGCCTCAGGCATATATAAATCCAATTGCTTTGTGTTGCATTTTGTGTCCCAGGTCTCTTAACAGAGATACAGTGCAAGTCAAAAAGGCTACGGAAAAATGTGAAGCAGCCCCCAGATCAGACAGTCAGTGAAGACAACGAAGGCCATGATGTGAAACAAGTAACTTCTACAACTAAAATATATAGGGTAAGAGAATTCTTATAATAGTTCATTGCTGGTGATGTGATTTTTGTTAAATGCATCTAGTACAGTGAATAAAGAGTATTGAAACCCCTCTGGAGCTACCAGATTAAAACTTTATCTTCCACTAAGTCAAGGAAATAGAAATACCTTGAGTGTACAGGTTGTAGTTATATTTTTAGTCAAAACACTGTAATGTATCTGTAAGATCTATGCAGTATTTTTTTCTATGGTACATATATCACATACATTGACGTGTGATATTAAAACTTGAACTTACCTAGTTATTTGCTAAGTATTTCCTTATTTCTGATAATTAACCACACAAACCTACGCAGTTTAAAAACATTATACACCTGTCTTCTGTGCACTTCTGTAAAAGCCTCAGTGACAAGCAAACCTCTTATCTCCCTGGTCTCCAAATGGTGAAAAATGGATGTATAGCTTTTGCCTAAAGCAAGAGATGCTACATCATTACTATGACTGCGTTTCATGATGGGCTTTTTTTTTTTTTTTGCCAGTATAGGAGAAGGTAGAACTTACCCCAGAGCAGCAGAAACTTCTTGATTATATTATGGATTCATACAGCAAACAACAAATACCCCAGGAGGTGTCAAAAAAACTAGTAAGTATACTGATAAATTAATTTTTGAAACACTGATAATGAAGCTGAGGATTACAAGGCAAAAAATATTTATAGTCAGCATAAGTAGGTGTACTTGGTAGAGCAAACTGTGGGCTTACACTTTAGGCATGCTGAAAGTGGGACAGAATCTCTCCCATTCAGTCAAAAATTAGACCAAATCTTTATGAAACTTAAATGTTAAGAAAAATCTTTCAACTCTAGAATAAGACTCTTGTGATCAAATCTAACCTTTGCTGATTGGAGCTTTGTTTTTTCCTTTGTCAATGTAGGCACTGATTTGAGTTTGACTTGCTGTCAAGCTTCCTTTCCTGTAAAGACACCATCCTGGAATCTTGAAAATATTTTCTAGAGTAAAAGACACTGTCTACTTCTTATGCTGTCTTCCAGAATACTTGGTTTTGACAAATTGGAGACAAATTACAGTGTTTGGCAGAACTCTTGCCTGGTCCAGTTTAATAGTTCTTGTATTTTATGCTCCTAAATAGGAATTGCCAGGGAAAATTAACAGACTTTGTTTGGTTTGATTTTCAACAGCTGAACGAAGAATTCAGTGCTGAAGGAAATTTTCTGATTTTAACAGAAATGGCCACCAGTCACGTGCAGGTTCTTGTGGAATTCACAAAAAAACTACCAGGTATATCCAGTGTGTTGGAGAAAATTTTGTTATTGCAAAGCTTAGGTGCCTTTCTGTTGCCTTTTGGAAAGCTTTGTGTATATTTTAAAGACTATTTAAAAATGCCTGATCTTTCTACACACTGTTTAGATATTGTATAAAAAAAGGTGCTTTGTGCTCAGAAGAATAGTAGACTGAACAATCCAAACTCTGCTACTCCCTGATTTGGCACCCTTTAGCTATTGACACAGAAAATGCTCAGAGAAAGGATTGTGTCTGTAGAGATTTTATTTTTATATATTGCTGCAGTGCCAAATAGTCTGCCTCTAAATTACCACTATCACTTGCTAGACTTTACTTTATTCCTTTTGCTGCCTTTCTAGCAATGCCTCTAGGTTATAACACCCACTGACTTGTGTGAGTCCCACACAAGAACTTTTCTCTAATTGGTGGCACCAATATCTATGGTCCTTGCATGGTGTGTTACGGACAAGTGCTGAAAATCTGAGTTTATTCTTTGCTGCCTTTCTAGCTATGCCTCTAGGTTACAACACCCACTGAATTGTGAGTCCCACACAAGAACTTTCTCTAATTGCTGGCACCAATATCTATGGTCCTTGCATGGTGTGTTACGGACAAGTGCTGAAAATCTGAGTTTATTAGAATTTTTTAAACTCTCAAGTTCATGTTACCTCAAGACTGAACACTGGGCATGTGGTAGGCATCTTTGAATAAGGAAGGAGCATGGTAAAACTGAAAGCAGCATGGCAGTGGGAAAGGAGTGTAGAGAGTTCAGGTGGAAACATGACAGAAGATACCATGGAGCAGCATCAGGTTAGACAAAATTCTCGCTATTGGTTACACAACACCACATTTTGCTTATCCTCAAAAAGTACCATGAACACTGAAATACGTGTATAATCCTCATAAACTTTGGGGAGGTTCAAATCAGTGTCATGTGCTGAAGTCCAGGTTGGAATGTCTGCAGTACTTAGCAAGCCTACGGACACCAACATCGAGGTTATGCAGATGTGTGGCACCTTACATGCAGGAATTTCAGGACAGAAAAAGTGGGAACTGTTTCTTTTGCTGTCTGATTTGTCTCTAATGTGTCCTCAGGCTTCCAAACCCTTGATCATCCAGGTTGGAAGGTCTGCAGTACTTAGCAAGCCTACGGACACCAACATCGAGGTTATGCAGATGTGTGGCACCTTACATGCAGGAATTTCAGGACAGAAAAAGTGGGAACTGTTTCTTTTGCTGTCTGATTTGTCTCTAATGTGTCCTCAGGCTTCCAAACCCTTGATCATGAAGACCAGATTGCTTTGCTGAAGGGCTCAGCAGTAGAAGCCATGTTCCTCCGCTCAGCTGAGATCTTCAGCAGGAAACTTCCCACAGGACACACTGTCCTTCTAGAAGAAAGAATTCGCAACAGTGGTAGGTGTCTTGTTCAATGAGGCAAAACCAAACCACACCATTCCACTTCTGTGTCACTGTTTGGCCCTTGGGAAGCTGGTAAGATTCTTTAGTAGCATTGAGATAGATTTATCTGAATGGTCTTTAAATTAACTAGAATAAATCTAACTGAGCCTTGAGTCTAAAGTTCATAAGGTAAAGGACTCTTTACAAGTACATTGCAACTAGTATCAATAATGCTACATCAAATAAACCTAGTGCATGTCTCCCGGGATAAGCATGAAAGAATGATGAAGAACTGTTACCATTTCAAATTGTTCACATAAAGTATTGGTAATTATGCTTTTAAAGACAATCTGTATAAGAAGAAAAAAAAAGATTTTAGGATGTTACTGAAGATGACTGAAGGCAAGCACCTATTCTTAGGGTTGTTCTGGTAAAATTGAATCACACTGAACAAAGTGCACAGAAGAATTATAAATACAGAATGTTCTCAGTATGTTTTTGCTTCTTAAGGTCCATTGAAAGCTCAGTGCCTCTGATAAGTTCAACTGGTTCTAGATATAAATCGTAATAATTATGAAAAGCCAAATGGGGGTAGATGTTGTTTGTTCCTTAGAGCAGAAGTTGTGTTGTACATTATTATGCATTCTTTGTGCTCTACCAATGCAATAGTGAATGTTTTGCCTTTTTCCGTATTGATCAGCAAGCTTTATCCAACCTTCAGATACCTAGCAATTAATATTCAAAGGGATCAACAATCCTGAATAGGAGAGTCAGTCTTTAGATTCTGCCTTCTGACTTTCCTTTTTAAGGATCAGAAGGAGAAGAGACAGAAGAACATGTAACTCAATATTAGTCATGGGAATGGGCTTGAACTCAGTTCAGAAAGTACTACTGATGTAAGCAAAATTAAGCCAATACCTACATATTTAATTCACTGGAAAGGAGTCAGAAAACTTGATAATAATTCACTACCTGAACATATATATTTATTTTGGCTTAGCACACATTTATAATTAGTAATTTTTCATATTTCTTTCATTTTCATTGATTATAAGAGGGTACTATTTCATGGACTGGAAACAGTGACTTCTAGAGTGATATGAATAGCTTCTGGTCCAGGTTCTGCAGGCAAAGTATGCCAAGAAGGCCAGATATATTTCCTGGAAACTGTAATGGGTTGTCACAGATCCAAATGTCTTCATTAAGAGATTTTTTTGCTGGATTATAACCCACATTTTTGATAAAAATAGGTTTTGGATAAATGAATCCATATGGCAACATGATTACTGAAAGCTTCTCTTCTATAATCTGTACAATGAGTATGAAGCTTCTTTGTTCAGAGTATCAATTGTTCATTAAAAAAAACACCTAAAAGCAAGAAATACTTTAATCCAGAACATTGCATAAACCCTTATGTCATACCAATAATTTTTCTCAGTCACAATTTTAAAATATTCTGTTAATTTTCTGCAGCTATTGAATCCAGATGAGATACAATATTATATTTTACAAGTTTGTGCTTGACTTTATGATAATAAAACTGGCTGGAATACTACATTGTATCCTGCCTTAGTATTATTTACCTGTCATGTTGCAGATTAAAAAAACCACCACATTTTGTGTAGAACAATTAAAAAAAAAATTTGTGTAGAAATTTCAAGACAAGTAACAAATGTGGTATATTTCCTGCAATTCTTTTTTTTTTTTTCTGTGGGGAAAAACTCCAGGGTAAATTAAAAGCAAATTCTTAGACCAAAAACCCGGGTTGAATAGCTCCCAAGAAATGAAACACAATAACTTCTTAAACCTCTGTGTGTGTGTATAAATACAAACATGTATCTTGCTCTTGGAAGAAGCTTTCTAAAGCATCTTCCCTCAAGCCAGGATCAAGTTAAAGACATGAGAGGAAATTCTGATGTTAGAACTTCCCCCTCCATGTATTACAAAAGAATAATGTATTATCCAGCTTACTGCTGCTGACTGCATTTTTTCCTTCTATTAATAGCCAGAATAAAATAAATAATATATTTTATTTCTCTGCTTAGTGCAAATTAAAACCTACTTTAAAAGATTTTTCTTTGCTGCATTTAATGGGGCTGTGACAATAAAAAAAGCAGCTTGTAAATCTTTGCATTTCTAGTTTAATTACTGCTACTGGACCGATTTAACTTTTAAATAAATGAAACTTTGAAATAGTTTTAAAATATCTACTACAGAAAAGCTTATTTTTGTGGTTTAAATCCTCATTATTTTCATGTGTCAAAGTTTAAACAAAATGATAGAAAGGCATCCAAATTCTTCTGTTATCATTGTTTACCCATAGAGCTTTCAGTGTTATTTCAATAATATGTAATATAAATTATAGCAAAATAAAATATTACAAAAATTCAATAATACAAATATTCAATATTGCAGATATTAAATACTATGCAGTTCACACCTCTGAATGTCATAGAACTCAACACCAGGGCTCCAAGTTTCGTAGTAGCCTGTACCAAATGTGACAGAGCAGAAATGTAAACAATCGATTCCAGTCTTAACCAGTAAGGACAAATGCTACTAAAAGCTGTAGCTGCCCATTATCATGTTATAGACTGGTCCAAGAGACAAGAGTCCAAGGCCAGAAGAGATTAAACCCCTCTTTTTCCCTGTGCCTTGCTGGAAAACAAACAAATAAACACAAAACCAAAAAAGGCTAAATGCAGCAAACTGAAATATACAAGGACAACAGAGAGCATCAAAAGAAAGTCAGTGTTGGCTGAGTGGAAGTTTGAAAATCAAGTTTATAGGTAACAAATGAAAAAAATAGCATCAGGACTATTTATGGCTCCTAGTGAGGTCCTAAACATTGTCATGCCAGCAGCCATAAATTATTGCTGTTAGTCAGAATTTCTGTCTGTATATTTTTAGGTACAGACTAATGTCTAAATATCACAGAAGTTCTATTGTCAAGCTTTGATGCCTGTATCCATAAAATCAGAGAGCGTGGTGGTGATTCTGCCTAAAAGTCACAAGCTGTCCAGACTTCTGTCACCTGCCACCATGTGCACTTTGAAGCTGCTCTCATCTATTAATATTTATGTATTCTCTGGTCTGATTGTATGGAATGTTTGGGGGTTTTTGCCTGATAAAGAAGTTAGAGATCTGGTGGTGATGACCTTTGAGCATTATCAGCATTCATTTTCATTCTCATGCTGATGAGGTGTATTTTTATTTCTCAGCTTGTGCATATTGCTCAAGTCCTGCTGCACCTCAGAGACTGCCTCTGTTGGAGCCCTGATGGTCTTTCTCCATAAGCTGTTAGGAAAATTCTCGCATTAGGTGCTCCTGTGACTGAAATGCTCTCCTACACACCCTAATATTGAGACTTAATGAGAAATACTGACTTTTAAAATTTAATATTACTGAGATTTGTTGCCATTTACTCATCTTATTTGATGCTTCACTATGCATATAGCATATTGAGATTGACTCATTCTGTAAAAGGCTGACATTCTAGTAATTTAATGCTTGGTGGTTTTCTGTTATTTCAAAAGCAACTTCTCCCAATTATTGAGCAGTACACTATTTTTAAAATACAGAGCTGAGATACAGAAATTTTTCTCTGTCAGGATTTGTAGTTTTGCTAAAGATACCAGGTTTCAGTAGTCATGAAAAGATAGAGATTTTTATTTTGTCACTTTACAGAGCAGTTCTAGGAATTTGAGTATTGGGAAATAAAATACTGATATTGACAGAAAGGGAAGATTTTTAAGTTGGCAGCAGGACCTCTGACATTGTGAAACACACTGTTGTCTTCCTGGATGGGTTACAGGTGCTGAAGTACACTCAGATCCAAAGAAAAAAAAAGAAATAGCCGCACTTTCAAAGCGTTGGCAAGAGGCCACCTTTTGCCATTGAATGTGGGATACAAAGTTCCCTCTGATTTGGATAAGAGGCTCCTGCAACCAAAAGTAAAGTTTGGTATTGAAACATAGATACCTAATAACTTCCATTGCCCTTGTCTTTTATAATTTGGTTATTAGTACTGAGCAAGGGTGGTACTTCAAACCCCCTTGTGCTCGGGTGTGTGCAGAGAAACAAAATGATCTTCACTGATGTGTCCAAAGTGTCTCCAAATGGTCATGTGCATCCTTGTGGAAGGAGACACATCATCCTGTGACTCAATGCAAAACTGGCACACTGCCCAAAACATTTAGAAATTTAGACCCCTCTAAATTGCAAAGTATACAAAAGAGCTTTTCTGTTCACACACTGTTCCTGCACAATCTGCCATGCCGAGTCATCCAGTTCTAGGTACCTGAAGCACAATTAAAGTCCCAAAAATGATTTAAATCATATCTACATGATAGATCTATACCCACGAAAGCAAAAACAAATGTCAGGAACCCAATCTCTTTTCTTCTGCATAAGTGTGTTTCTTCAGGCCAAAAATCATTTTCAGACTCTGCCTATGAAGACTAGCTCAAGGCAGTGCAGATGCTGCTACTGTGCGCTAGACCACATTTCTCTCTTGACTGCAGGCACGCAGGCCATTGCTAAAGGAGGGTGTGTGGAAAGGTCATTTGCACCTTCCTTAGAGGCTTGGGTCTTTTTAGGGTTTTTTTTTTGTTGTTGTTTGTTTGTTTGGTTGGGATTTTTTGCGGGTTTTTTTGCATTTTTTTGGGGGTTTTTGGTTGGTTTTTTAAACTAAGGTTTCTTTGCTTGCAATTATGACTTAAGAGAGGTCCTATGGATTGCTTTAAAGATGATGGGGTTTTGGTACTTGGTTGTGAGTTCTGCTCAACACATGCTAAGTCTCTTTTAAGTTGGCCATTTAACCCCTACAAGGTAACAGCAGCCAGAAAAGAATGTGCCCATGCTCTGGTGTGTCTTCTCTCCTGGCTAGATTTTCTCCTGATTTGGCACTCAGCATCACAGGGGTGAATTTGGTTAGTGTTTAAAGCACCATTTATGCATTTGAATAGCTCAGAAGGGAGAGCTAATAAGCAGCATGAAAAACAGTTTTGGTAGATGGAATAATGTGAAAGATAAAATGTAAGTTTGTGAGTAATTAGAATATTTTATTTGCATAAAGCAGCTACTAATATACCCTTGGTTTCATATTCACTAATGTTTCAATGTTTATCAAGAAAAAATGATCTCTATCTATATTAATAACACAGTGTTAGTTACTGTTAATTAGCATTTACTCTCAAGCTTTCTTCTTGCAATAGATTAATTATTCAGTTTTGCAAAACGGCCAAAATAGAAGAGAGAATGCTGTCTCAAAAAGCTGGCACCACTGACTTGATACCACAGTAAACACACATATTCCAGGATTATGTTAAACAGATAATTATTCATGGCCTGCAACTGCAAACCTTATGATATCAGTATCAGTCATCTCACTTTTAAAGAGTAATCATAGCAACAAAACTCTAAAAAAGACAAGGTCTAAAGTAATGCTGTGCCTTGAACTACAGAGGGGGATGAACTTGTGCAAGTAAGAGATGTTGAGTGAATAATGTTCATATGTTTAAATCTGCTCTAGTTTGATGCTGCAAAGCTGCACTCAGAAAAGCTTGTATTTCCCACTGATCACACTTGGGTTTACAGCCAGACAGGCATGCACATAACAAAATAATCAAACAATCTGCAGCATCTTCTGCAGGTGGCTGAGGTGGGTGAGGTAGGAATTTGTGTAACGCAGAAAGATGCCCAATGACATATGAAGGATAAGCATGTTCTTACTGCATAAAACAAGGTTTTTGAAACCTTTTTGAAGAAAGTTAGGAAGGAGGCACCATTATCAGTAACCAGGAAGCTCTGTCTGCTTGACAGCACTGTGCAGGGCTCTCATCTGATCTAAATATAGAAGGTAAGGCAGAACTAACTTTTCTGTTCTGAGTGAGGCCAGAAATATAATTTCATTTATTTGATTTTTTTCACTTTTTTCCAAGCTATAACTTGTAGTAATGACTTTGGGAAAATCAAGTAACACTTCTTTTCTAGCCTTTCCAGTCACAAGCACCAAATCACCTTTAATTCTTGTTCTGATAATCTGAAGTGGCAACATCTCATACAGTAGCTAGGAAAAAAAAAGTAAGAACTATAAACATCTGTTTCCTGTGTTTCCTGGATGTTTTTTTTTTTTCTTTTTCTTTCTGTTGGAGCTTATTAACTGCAAACCGAAGCGTTTACAATCACATTAGAAAACAGCTCCCTCTTGTGACAGAAAAGCAATTTGTGCAACGTGTATGCAAGATGATGAAGTAATAGCAGGGAAACTCCAGCATAAGTGGGGTGACAGCAAAACTGCTAAGAGAAAATATTCTATTATCCTAGTTCCAAAACTGCTTATTTTTCACGGATTTTTTTCCTAATTGTCTTGTGACATATATCAGTTAAAGAATTTGAAGTTCTGTTCTCCCTAGGAAAAGTGGTAAATCACTTGCATTGCTCAAACATCCCTTTATAATTCCCTTTCATCTCTATGGTTTTGTTTTATTTCTCTGTTTGCAGTACACTAATAAAGAGTTCTCTGCAGTAATTTCATTTGCTTTCACATCTATACTCTTGTTTTGCTTCACCCTTCCATAGTTAATATTAGATTAGAAGCTCTCTGGGCAGGGATTGTTTCACAGACATTGTTTGGAGCAGTGAGAACGTGAATTTAGGTCTTCACTAGCTTTTCTATATCCTGTTTTCTAGCACCATTTTCATCCTACTTCTGCTATACAGACAATAGGATTTGAGGAGTGTGGGGCCACCAAAAGCAATAAATTAATCCAGATGAAAGCTAGCCTGACCTTCAAAAGAAAAAAGAGAAAACCCCTTCAAATTATGAATATGAGAAACAAATAATGGGAGTCAGTCACAGCGCACTTCCTACCATTTCTTGTTTCCTGTCAAGATGATTGTGCCCAGCGGCACAATACCTTGCACAGAGACTTCTAAAAATATCAACTTTGTCTCAGACTTTTCTTATGTTGTTGCTGAGCTGCTCATTTCCATGAAAGGAATTCTTTTGCTCTGCTTTAGTGCCCAACTTTTCGCTTCTTTTTTTTCTACTTTCATGCAAACTTTAAAACTTTGGTGTTCTGTACATATGTGCTACTTACATATTATAAGGAACCTTGGCATTTAAAACCACCCAAGAGGGAGATAGGTGGTTCCCCAAAAGTTAGCAATAACAGGTATTCAAAATTTTAAGTAGTTAATGCTGATGACTAACAACATAAGCCTGGCAGCACATTAGATGCTATGACTATTGTTTGCTGTGTCAGAAGGGCCAGCTGTGTTACCAACTTCTACAGGACGAGCTGACCTACATCACACATATCCCTTTAATTTACTTAGACTCAGTAGTATTGAACTCATTATGGAAACAAGATTTGTGGCTTGTAAACTGAAGTGAACATAGGTTGCCCATGTCATGTGTTTAAACACATGACTCAGCCATGAAATAAACCACACCCTACAAGACCATTCCTTCACTGTTGGGACAAATAACTATTCCACCACTGCTTGAAGTAAATTCACTGTCACAGCAAAATGTGACTGTTTCATAGTTGAGTCAAGTGACTTCATGTTTCCTTTCTTTAAGTTCCACATGCTGAGTTTCAGTTTGAATTTTGCCTACTGGGGGCACTCCAAACCTCACTAGTCTGGACTTCAGCTTGGTGTTGTACACAACACTCAAACCTGCATTAATTCACATGGTTTCCAAAGGAAGTTAAGTTATAAAGATTTCTCCTAGAACAGCTCCAAATTAAGATTAAATCTACAAGAGATCCTACGGCCCTCATCTGTGGGAACCAAGGAGCTTTCCATCCTTTCAGCCAAGGAAGGCCAAAAGGTTCTTGCTGCAGAACCACAGATTTGGATGTCTACACTGCTTCAGAGCTGCAAGCAGCTGCTGTCAATAGTTTCATGTCTGCTCTGAGTGACTCACATATCATTTAAAAGAGGAATAATTTTGATATCACAGAACTTCTCTTTTACACCAAAGAGCAGGATGGAGTACATCTGTAATTTAAGGCTAACTAAGAACATTGTGACCTGATGACAAAGTCAGCAAGAAGAAGTCCCATTGACATGCCTTAGTTTGGAAACCCCAAAGGCTTCTGCTGATGGTGAGAGAATCACATGATCCTATTCTTAAATAGGCCTGGAGTTTAGCTATTTTTGGCTCTGTATTTTATAACACATTGTTTTATGCTTTAAGGTAGAAGTAGTTGCAAGCAAGCTGATCTTGGACTACAGGTAATCCTAGACCTAACGAAAGTTTCAGGCTACATAAAAGGAGTAATTAAGTGTCTTTATGGAGACAACTGAAGCAACTGCCCAAGGCAGTTTGCTGTAGAGTTGGGCTGGAATTAAACCATACACCCTGAGAGGTTTCCACATAACTAATGCAGAGACAGGAAACACAGGGTCTGCTTCACAAAGAGGATTATCAGCAGACAAGGAAACCACCTGTGAGACTTGTCCTGAAGAGCCAGATGGACTGCAGAGTGAAATGAATTGTTTGAAAAAAAGACTTTGAAACCACGCAAAAAGAAATTGCCAGTGTTTGCCTGTGTCTAGTTTGCTCTGGAAAACAAGGATATGCTTTTGTAACTAATTGTCTTGCATCATGATTTCTGTAGTAGATTTCTCCCACCAAGACAGTGAATATGAAATATGAAATAATTGCTGTGTAGCAAGAAACCAGAGTGCTTCAATAATTAAGACATACTATAACTATTTTTTTCATTCTCACAGGTATCTCAGATGAATTCATAACTCCCATGTTTAATTTCTATAAAAGCATTGGAGAGCTGAAGATGACACAGGAAGAATATGCACTGCTCACAGCCATAGTTATCCTGTCTCCAGGTAACTTTCTTCTCATCCAGAATTAAATATTAGTGGTTCTGGAAAGAAAGCATGAGGAGCAGACGTGAGATTTGTAAAAACTTAGATTCCACATGGAGCAAGTGAATGTGCATGCTCATTCTGTTTATTCAGTTGTTAAACCAGAAAACAAGCACAGAAATACAAACTCCAAATGTCCTGCTGCACCATTTGGTTTTGAATACAAGGAAGAAACTGTTTAAATAACATGCTTTTAAAAATTACGGGTATCTCTTCACTGCTTAGCAAAACAGGCTTCTTCCTTCAGAAAACCCCAGATGTGGCTAAATGCACATCACCACTAACTACTGTGGAATGCCACATATTTTAAAGGGAAATTGGGAAACGCTATAACTTAGAATAACTTAGAGTATGGCAATGAAAGTCTTCAGACTTTATTGGGAGATCTCCAAACCAAAAAGATCTTCAGGTTTCATGAAAGATGGGAAGGTGAAGCATTTCCATCACTCTTTGAGTAAGTGTGTCTCAGGACATTTTTTTTTTTTACACCAAAAATCCCATCCTTCTCTTCTTCTCCCAATCCAAGTATCCAAACACATGTTTCCATATGAACAAAATAAAAATACAAATATTTTCTAACAAGGAAATTTAATCTGAGGATGAAGATGCTTGATTTCACCCTGGTGACCTGCTTTTACACTCCTGTCTTCTGGCTAAATTCCCCAGGAGTACTACACCTCCAAGAACTTAGGGTATTACTTAGTTTTTGCAATGCATTGCATGACATACTCTGGTGCAGAATCACATGGAGAGACGATGATAGAACTCCAGTGAAACTTTGCAGAGTTAAAACACTTCAGTTTTTGAGAAGGTTAAAAGTTTTCTCTAGCTAGAAGTGAGAAGGTTACATGAAAACCCTTCAAGCAAAAACACAGCATTAAACACTTTATTTCATATTAATTTGAAATAAATATTCTTTGTATAGTATGAACATCAGTGCCCAGTGTAAATATTTGAACATTTTTATATTAACTTATCAGTGTAAATATTTGCAATGTATAAGAGCATATATTTGCTAATCACTTCTTCTCTTTAAAACCATAATCAGATCGACAATACATAAAGGACAGAGATTCTGTGGAAAGGCTTCAAGAACCTCTGCTGGATATCCTACAAAAAGTCTGCAAGCTTCACCACCCAGATAACCCTCAACACTTTGCATGTCTTCTGGGCCGTCTCACAGAATTACGGACATTTAACCATCATCACGCAGAGATGCTGATGTCATGGAGAGTGAATGATCACAAATTCACACCTCTTCTCTGTGAGATCTGGGATGTGCAGTGATGGATACTTCTTTATTTTATTTTAGGAGAAATATCTTTTTAAAGGACCACATAGCACTTATTTTCATAAAGAAGTTCCCACGGTGCATGATATTTTCTTTACTGCATTTTTATAGAAACATGCCATGGATTCATAAAAGTCATTTTGTTCACTAGACACAGAATATTGTATAGCTGTCAGATCCTCACACGTGAGTATAACTTTTTCTGTATTTATATCCTCTAACCAGAAAGAGCCCACCAGCTCTTCAGAGGAACCCAATTAATTCCTGCTGCAATTAAGCTGATTGCAGTAACTGTTCCTCTGTAAAGAAATGGGGAAATGCAAGTTTCCATTCATAATTTTTCATTGCAGTGTTTTTTTTTTCTTTACCTCTGACAAAGAATATATTCCAGATAGTTACAGTAATAAACCAGCTGAAATGGTTAATGTCATAGTCATTTGCTGTTCAACTCTGAAATGTGTTCACGTTAAGGTGTGCAAGATGTTATTTCTTCACAAGATGAAAAATTATGTAATGGAGGAAAACCACATACACACAAAAACAGTTTTAATGATATAACATGTAACTTGAATTGCATTATTATTTCGAAGTAAAAATTATAGAGTATCTTTACTTTGTGAAAGTGTGTCACAGGTTATTTTACTTTATTACTTTGATTGCTGGTGCTTAATGGCTTTCAAAAATACCACCAGCAGCATCCCTGGGACAGGTAAGCGTGCCTGGTGCTGGGCACGGAGCTGCGGATGCGGCCGGGGGCTGCAGGCAGGGTGGGGGGACTCTTCGTGCCGGGCTCCGCTCCCGGCCACGCGAGCCCCGGCGGCGGGGACAGCGCTGTGCCGAGCGCTGCGGCCAGAACGCCGGCGGCCCTTCGGCCCCCAGCGCCCGGGACGTGCTCCAGCCCGGGGGCCGTGTCCCAGCCCGGAGGTGATGCCCCAGCCCGGAGGTGATGTCCCAGCCCGGGGGCCGTGTCCCAGCCCGGGGCCGCAGCCCGGGAGCGGGGCGGTGCGGCGGCTCCGGGCCAGGTGCGGCGGGCACGGCCCCGCCCCCGGCGCCGATTGGCGCTTTCGAAAGGAGCGGCCGGCGCGGCGGCGCCCGCGGCGCCGTGAGGGCACGGCCCGGCACAGCACAGCACAGCACGGGGCAGGACGGCACGGCACGGCAGAGCACGGCACGGCAGAGCGGTGGGTGTGACAGCAGCCGCACCGGGGGGTGGCAGTGGCCCGGCCGCGGTCCCGGCCCGCGGGGGAGGCGCGGGGCGGCTGAGGAGCAGCGGTCCCGGCCCCGGCGCG